CAGCTTATGAGGGCAATGATTACGTGCAATGCATGCTTCGTTACCTTATTACTTGGTTTGTTCACACGTAAACTGAGTAGCCACGATAAAGCACCACCAAACAATCGAAGCTCTACTTTTTGGCATTAGTCGCTAAAAACTTTAACTTTCAACGCTACGTCATTGTGACATGAGTTAATTTTCGTGCCGTTCCTCATGCTTACCCGTTTCACCTTACTTTCCAGTAACAACAAAGGTTATTATCAAAACTGGGTCTTCTCTTCGTGTCCCGGGTTACAGAATTTTCAGATCAGGATATTTAATGCGTTAGAGCGTCGAGTTTGTAGTCAATAGATTCGTCGTCGTCGTCGTCGTCGTCGTCGTCGTCGTCGATTCTAATAACCCCCGGAATAACTCGTGCTTCGTCCTTGCAGAGTGCACAGATGAGTACCAGTTTGTGAGAAGAAAGGATGAGACTACTGCCAAACTGTAGACATTTCCCGCAGAAAACTGCAAAAGGATAATGGCATCGTGAGGATGATCAGTGCCCAACCGAACGGCTGCTTTAAATGAAAAATACAATTTATGGGAACATGCAGAAAACTGATATTTCAAACTTTGCTCCGCGATCCAAAACGAAAGTTAACATTTGCTTTCCACTGTATCTTTTGAGTTCCGTTTGTACACTAAGCTTATCTTAAGATTGAGTATTTTGCTTATGTGTTAGTAGTTCCACTGAAAAGCAGAAAAGTGCGATTTTACATAACACAACGACAAATATAAGATTTTAGATGAAAAACCACTACTAACGTTTCGGCCCTCTCTTATGGCTTTATGTGAGAGTGAGAGGACTGATTTTTTTTTTGACTAACCCGTATCATGCTCCAAATCGTAAAATAAATGTTAGCAATACAATGAAATTCATTGGAAACCAGGTTTTATTAGTTTGCTATGCTTTGCAAATGTCTCGTATTGTTCCCAACAGTGTTTTAAAATTGGTATTAAACGCTAACGGATACTACGTTTTAGTATTAGATTGTACGTCGTTCCATCATTTTTCTTACAAACGAAACGCACGGTTGCAAAGAAGCGATGAAAATCGGTATATAACGTCAGATCAGATCTCCTTACTTCCTTCAGACTGCAGCAACAGACCTCCTTGTAGCATAGAATTTGTCTTTTACCACAGCAGAAACACTGATAACATAAATGTGAGACAATTTCAAATGATTAGGCATCACAAATCTGGACTTTATGTTACTCTAGGAAAGCTTCGTTGTTTCATGATGATGATGATAACAGCTATACAATCAAATTTTAACGTGGGTTTTGGTGGACAGAGTGAACAACTGCGTTATCAGCAACCCGCGGTATGTGGGTAAATTTCCGTGGAAATTAATTTTTATACGTGAAAGTTTACGCATGTTTTAAGAAATTTAATTGCAAAATACGATGAAAATAACAGTGCAATGAAACATTTATACTTTATTTAATCATTGTTTCTTTAAAATAGTCCAATATTGTGTTTTGAGCGACAGCTGATGATATTTCTTCGTCACATGCATTTTAATATTTTGTAAATGCGTTGGATGAAGGTGACTGCAGTCGCTTTGTCATTCTATTCAATTCATCACTTCGCTAATGCTATCCATTACAAGTGCTAATTTTTGGGTCTTAAGCTCACTCATCTCTTCATTCTCGCTGTCATCGTCTGACCAATGGCCCTCCTTTCCTATTTTGGGGCTCTAGATTTCCTCTACAGTTTCTTCATCGTCCTTATAAACAGCGACGGAAGTTTCATCATCGTCACCAATCCAGTGTCACACGTCATTTACTTCTGTTCTTTGGGTGAGAGCATTGGAAGCTTCACGCGAGTCAAGTATGAGATAAAGGGAATCTCTTTAGAAAGTCACATTTAATGCCACAAGGAATGCTGCTCTGAGGGATCCCAAGGCGCTGTCAGCAGCCTATCGCAATAAATTCGAACCAAGTTGTTTAGGTAAAAAATAACTGACTTTGCATTTGAAATGAAGTTGATTTCGGAGAAAATATATAATCAACTTCGAACCAACTTGTTTAGAAAAGACAAATCGAATTAAAATTTGAAGCAAAGAACAAAGTTGTTAACGGAAAACTAATTGAATCATTTTTGGATAATAATAAAACGTACGTCTTAATTTGAGTGAGCGAGAGAAATAACTAGAAAGGACAAATGGAAGCAAGAGGCATTCAGGCCTTTTCGCACTAAGCACGAAAGGTGTTGGGGTAACTCACTGAATGCCTACCTTCGCAGAGGAACAGCAGTGAACGTAGAAAAGTTGCGCCTGGAATACATGCTTAAGGTTCAGTTCAGTTCCACTGATTCAGTTGCGCAGCTTGTTGTTTTCAGCAGTCCAAATACAGCTAGTACTGAAAGTCGTTAGGTAGCACGCCATATGATGGTGCAATTCAAACGAAGATCCGTCGCCTGATGAGTGATCAAATACCAAGCTTTTAACGATATCATAAATCTTCAGCAACTTGCACTTCTGCTATGTGATTAACGATCATGAGGGCGAAAACTGCTGCAGATAAAACAAAAGGAATAGTGTGTTAAACACAAATTCAGTTTGTATTTCGGCTCTATATCTTGTGTATGATGGAATGTTTGTTTGGTGTGACAAATCACCAAGAAATTACTGAATCAAGCACATCAGCTGACAAACAAAATGTGTCGTTAGAGTTTGACAGCCTGAATAAATTTTTTCGAAGTTAGATGGGATCGCCACACACAGACAATGTTAACTGCATTCGCCGTTAGGTGCTCCAGCGATGATCGTGGCTTAGCTTTGTTAATCGGCATATCATCATCAGCCTTTTCGATCCATTTCTGAATGCACGTCTCTAAGACTTTGCTCTAGGCTTTTGTTTTCTGCCATTTTAATCTATCTCAATCCAGCGAACTTCTTCAGCTGATCCTGCCAGAGAGGTGGATACCGTTTACCCTCTTTTGGAACCCAGCCTAATGTTTTTTTTTTAATCCAGCGACAGTCGGCTCTGGCAACTTGCCTCGACAGTGACATCGCAGACTCTTGTTTATGCTCTTTCCCATTCATTCGTCTTTCTATCTTTTCTTGTTATTCCCAACAAACTTTTACATGCTGCATTGCGTAGTCTGCAGTTTAAGAGCAGCTTTTGGTTTAGGGTCCAAGTTTCGCACTTACAGGTTACCATAGGGAGCACACACTGAGCGAAATCTTGTCGTTTCAAGCACAATGGCAGTCTTCCGGATAGGATCATTTTTAGTCTTCCTATAGTGTTCCATGCCATTTTTAACCTTCTGTTAATTTCCAATAGTCGGTTCTGAAATGCAGAGATGAGGTAGACAATTACAGGTAGAAGTAGCTTTGCACTTCTTCAAGCCTAAGTCCGCTGACTTCAATAAGTTCTAATGTCTCGCATTAAACATGGTCTAAGTCTTCTTCAGGTTTATGTCGGTTCTGCTTTCATGACGATGTCGTTCAGCTCTTCAGACTCCTTCTTGGAGTTGTTTTAGAGCCCTTAAGAGAATCAGAATGTCATGTACAAACCGCAGGTGACTTAATTCCTGATTTTCTAAACGAACTGTCGTGAAAACCACTTCTACGGGTGCTTTGAATAACTTCGATAACATTACGTTTCCTTGTCGTTCTCGATTTTGAACTCGCTTGTGCTTTCGCAAATCTTCAGCAAATCTTCTAGCAGTTGCACTCTTGTAAATCATGGCGATCAGAATTATTTATCTTTTATCGATTCTCTGGCTCCACAAAGAATCCAATGTAGAAGGAACGTAGGTTGAGTCGAAAGCCTTATCTAAATCGACGATCCCCGGGCAGTAAGGTCGCTGTTGTTCGTTGCTTGTCTGAATTAAATTACTTGTTGTACCACTTGGAGATGATTGGCAACTAATTGATTGGCCTGTAATTATTCAAATCTTTTCTATCTCTTTTCATGGAGTATCACCGGTGCGATACTCAAACTGTCTGGAATTTCCTGTAGACAGCGTGAAAAAGGCACGTAGTATCTTGGTTAGTGCTTCACTTCCTGATTTGTTGACACGAGTTGAACGGTGCTGCCGCCTTCGTTAGGAGCCCTTCCTCACTTTATCTTTGTAGTTTTCTATAGAAATATTGCACTCTAAATCAGAGTATCAGAGTATAAAATGACCAAATTATTAAATCAAATAATGTTCAGGAAATGATTTATTGCCTTATTATGGATTCGAGGCAAGAAAGTTAAACTTCTGTTCATGAATTAAAGAGCATTTCACTCACAAAGAGTTTCTTTGAGGCTCTGATCCTTCGTTTTTGAAAGCGCGATTGAACTGGATAACAGACACCGTGGCAGACAGAACAGTCAGGAACTGATTCAGCTCATTTCTGAATTTCCCACAACTTTCCGTCGTAATCACCAAGCATTTCATGCGGAGGTGAAGGTTAACGAAATAAATTGAGGATTTGCCCCCGGCTGATTCGCGAAGTTAGTCCCGGTCTCGGAAATACAGTATGTCTGGATGGTATATAGAAATAGCGGTATAGAAGAATTATTTCGGATCAGGCTGAATTAAAAACTCGAGACACTTGAGCGTTCCTGTTTGTGACAATGGCGGCCGAATTGTTAATTGGAATAAGTGTAGTGGTTGCACGATAAATAATGTAAAGAAAGTGTGGAAGTGAATCAGTGGCGCGAAAGCGGGAGGTACTCTGCCAACCGACGGGCGGGCCGGCCAATGCTCGCCTCGTCTTGCCGTACCTCAGCACGAACCTCGCATCTCTCACGACTCGCATAGATCAGATAGCTGTTTATTAAAAATGTTCTTCCGAATGATGTGCGTAGCGTCGATCGTTTTTGTCTCCTGCGCTGTTTATTATGAAACGAAGAAATTTCTGACATGGCCAATATGCGTCATTAATTTGTTTGAAGGAAAGGACGAAAAACGAAATTTTCTTTATCGTTAATTAACTCGCTCGCTTCACAGGCACCAGTCAACGAAAATAAATTTATCAGCTCGTCTTTTCCAGTCTGATGGAATTACATTGGCGCTCAGTGCGCCGTTTCTTGCCTGCCGGGTCCGCGGCAACGACCACGACCAATGTTAAGAGTTCGGCTCTGGTCATGTCTTGGCACTCAAGTCGAATTCGAATCTGAAGCACCGCCTTTCGGCGAGCCTCCTTTGCATGGCCGTGCACTACCCTGACACGGATTCGGTCAGCCATCGAAGCATCAAACGCCAAATGACTGTCACCAACTTCCCACACAGTTGGACACTTAGATGTGTATGTGTGCATCTACTTGTGAAGTTGAACAGGAAGCAATTAAGGAGTAACTTTTCTTTCGTTCTTCTGCTTCCGCTGCTCCTTTCACTCCGTTAAATACACTGACTCTCAAGCTCTGAGACTCACGCCGGAGGAGGCTTGAACTTTTTCGACGTAGCAGCTGACTATCGGTCTGTCCGGTCACTTTAAGCCAGTATCGACGATGTCAGTGATCTATCTTGCTTGGATCAGGGCAACGCTTCTCAATATCATTTTCATCTTTTTCAAGCGTGTTTGAGGGGGTCTGTTGATCTGTTTCTACTGTCTCAAAGCTGATCTGGTGAGCAGTTCGTTACAAGCACTCCATCATTGAAACGCTTATGACTTTTAGCTCCCTTTTCGTCTTTCCAGTAAGGCAGAAGCTAAATACTAACGAATGTAAACTGTATTTTAATCTTAAGCTCTGAAGATGTCTTTGAATTCAAAAGTATGCCTTAAAATTTGATTTGAGCGTTAGCCGCATGTTATGCTGTTTAGACAGCAGTACAGTGTGACTTCGAGAACAAGGTTGAGGTAATTTTCAGTATTCGTTGGCGATCGGCTAGATCTTGTACCATATGCATCGTAATGGTGTTTTGATATCTTATATCTATGCCTGAAGCGCATAGTTTTTTTGGTTATATTTTGCGTGCAGCGCGAATGCCAATGCTAATTCAGCTTGAAGCCGAAACAAGGGTGTACCGCCGGCCCTGTCTGCACTTCGACTCCTCCAGTACACGCATGCAGACGTCGTTTCATATTCAGCAGTGACTCGTGGCAAACGCACTTCGATCATCTCAGCCCTGGGATTCGTTCGTCTGGAAGTTACTTCTTTTGTCTCTCTTTCTCGAATCATGCTAAAGTTGATCCAGCAACGAACGCCTGAAGCGCTAAACACTTTTTCTTCTGTCATTGTTTTACAAGCCGTGATGGAAGTGGCCAAAGTAGATAGTGGATACCTGTACGACCACAGGCCAGTCTTCCATATTTAGGATAGTCTTTCTTCTTCAGGTAATCATCCAGCCTGTATAAACACACTAACAGACGCTAGCAGTTAGATGTCAGAGGTTTACGCATAAAGAACGCTACGATGCGCGAAACTCTAGTGGTATCTTGTAAAGCATCCGGTGTACTAAAACTAGACCCTAACAATCCTGAGAATTTTATTTTAATTTCATTTTAGATGCCTTATGCCTCGCTGACAAGATGTTTTTCA